ACACACACACACACACACACACACACACACACACACACACACACACAGACACAGCCATCACAGCCAGGCTGGCTCGTATAGACAGGTTGCTCAATGATACATGAAATTAAAGATTTCGACAGAATAGCAGTGAAGAGGGTAAAACACACAGAGCTAATTCTAACTATCAGTGGGAGATGTTTAATGTATTTCAAACAAAAGTCTTCTTTCCTTTGTATGTGTGCACAGTGTTCAATGTGCACGTGTGTTGTGTTTGCTAACGTCTGATTTGTGTAACAAATTGAAGGCTTTATTGATCATTTTTTGTTTTTTTCTTCTTCTTCTTCTTCTTCTTCAGGGACTCTAACACAAGTTAGAACAACACACCCTCACACAGACACACACAGACAGAGAGAGAGAGAGACACACACACACGCCCTACTGGTATAACCTTGAAAGAAGAGCTGTTTCCGATGGATACAGGAAACGGTCTGTGGCATGAGAAGGGAGGACAGCTCAGGACAGTAGAGGAGAAGAAAGAGGAGAAGGGGGCTTGGATCAAAGGCCAAATCTGGTCCAACTGGATTAAATAAATAATGATTTAAAATTTCTGTCTTTATATTCAAATGATTAGATTTCAATAATTTCTGTACTCTAGGTCCTTCTGTGAATTGTTTTACAACTTAGTAGTCATGCAATACTTGACTATTTCAAGTCATACATTTGTCCAAAATTGAGTCTACAAACCTGTTTTCATTCTGACTGAAATTACTGAAAGCATCTATATAAATTATCTCAGAAAGTCATTTATGGCATGGTTTTATGTTGAACTTTTTAAGAATATCTCTCATTCAAGAAGATTACATTGGAAGTAAAATCAAAAATCTAGTCAACAGAGAAACTGACATTTTAGGCATTTCAACTTGGAACACGAAGTAAAAGCACAGGCCACAGTATAGGTGCAAGACTTTAAAACTACTGTACAGAAATTTTGATTCAATTGTAACAATTACCTTTGTGCATCGTTATGAGGCAGCTTATAATAATTGAACTACCAGCTACTGGTCCACCTTTTTTCCTTCTTAATGTTTCAGCGAAAAAGATTCAGTAAAACACCAGAACATTCAAATAATCCCTCGTGTTTGTCTATTTATGCAGCATGATTCAGGTTAAGTTGTATGCATAGTGTGTGTGTGTGTGTGTGTGTGTGTGTGTGAGTGAGTGAGTGAGTGAGTGAGTGAGTGAGTGAGTGAGTGAGAGAGAGAGAGAGATGCACTTCCTCCTAAAATGCGAAACATTCAATAAAATTAGGAACATGTACTTTAAATAATTCAACTCTGTAATTTCAGGTTTTAAAGAATTTAGTGACATATCTCAGAATTGAAAATACTCCTAGGAGAAGGAGATAGAGCATATCTTGCTGTCCAATACGTATTAACATGCCACAACCTGAGGGACAGTGAGTGACCTACACACACTCACACACACTGTATACATATATAATTAATATTCAATCTATATGTTATATTAATGTTATTGTGTATTAATATTATTGTATGTTTAATTTTTTTTGATGCTTTGGCAATACTGTTTTTAAACTTTCATGCCAATAAAGCAAATTGGATTGAATTGAGAGTGTGGGGGGGTATGGTGCTTTGCAAGGGAGTTTTGTTACACTATAGGGTCGGAGATGTAACTGAAGGGATACTGAGTCTATCTGTCCCTTGCCCAGGGGAAACAAACACACACGCTCTCTCTCTGTCTCTCTCTCACACACACACACACACACACAAGCCTTGGTCTTTTCTCCTCACTACCCTCCTCCTCTCTATGTACACCAGTGTATATCTCTCATTCTTTCTGCCTATTTAAAAGCATTTGCCCTTGGAGAAACTGTGGTCCCTCCTCAGCGTTCCTGGACAAGTGCTGCTAGACTGTACCGGACACACAAAAAGGGAAAACATACAGGACGGTGAGCATGCAGCTATAAACCATGTACATCTGACAATACTGTGAGATCCAGCAAGTGGGCACAGGGAACAACACTATACTTGCAACATTTGGTGTCAAAGATGCACTTTTCCCACAAAGAGGTCTCCAGTCTTTTCTTTGCTCAATTAACCCTGCGGCCTTCATTTGCATTTCATAAAGAGGTCGTCACTCTGTGGGAGGGTTATCTTTTTTTTGGAGGCAGAAAAAGATGAGGGGGGAACAGTTTTTATCCTATCAACAAGATAACGCCACTCCTCTGCCTTCCGAGTATAGCTGATGAAATCTACGCTATAGGCCTATATGTGTCTATGTGACTGTGCTTGTTAATATGCAGTGCACGTGTGTCATGTGCTACATCTACTGTATGTGTGTGGGAGGGAGGGTGCATTCTGTGTGTGCACTCATGTAAAGGGTACATGTGTAAGTTTTTGTGTCAGATCACTAGTTTGGCCTGTGTGACACCAAACAGCAGCCACACACCACAGTGGGTCTATGCATCCGATGGGACCCTGTAACTGATGGCCCCGAGCACAACATTGTGTCTGTGCACTCGCTGAGAGGTTAGCTGCGGCTTGGCCCTTTATCCACCGGCTATCCATTAGCCAGTGTTAACTCATGCTTCATCAACTGACCCTCCATTTGGGAAATTTGCATTCCATCACACTCAAATTTAGTGGAAGCGGGATGGGAACAGACTGCAGAGAGGTACGAAAAGAGTAAAGAGGGTGTTAGAAATGTGAGGAACATTCAGTTGCTTAGCAAAAAAAAAAAATTGCTTTCCGGAGAGTATATCTGTGTGTGTGTGTGTGTGGTGTGTGTGTCTGTGTGTGTGTGTGTGTGTGTGTGTGTGTGTGTGTGTGTGTGTGTGTCCGTGCGCAAATGCATCTGCCAGAGAGCTTGTGAATTGGACACCCATTTAAAGAGTGCATTTTCCGAATAAGCTTTTAAATCTGTGCCCACCTAGTCAACAAGCATTACAGATTCTCAAGTGGCTAAAAAGCATGGATCCTGCAGATGAAGAGTGACATTTCTTTCAATTCAAAAATGACTCAACAGCAGTCATTTCCTCTCATAAGTTGGCCTTTTCACACCCACAATGCAATTTTAAAAGTCTCTCAATAATGTTCTAGCTGTTAAATCAACAGTAACTTTACCAACAGTACCTATCACATAATTTCAGCTTGGCAAAACAATATCTGGAGTAGGCTACAGTGTGGGTCCCTGGGTACACTGCAGGACGGTGTAAACATATTGTTTCAAATAAAAACCATATTTCAAGGACAAGAAGGCTCCATTTTAAAAGAAAATATCTTCTCTACATTTTATCAAACTGCCCACAAAAAAACCCTGCTCAAGTTCAGTCATGTGGGCATTTGAATAAAATTCTAAGAATACTGAGGTTAGCTACAGGGTGTACATTCAATTTGACACCTGAAGTTGAAATCAGACAATAAAGCCGCTCACCTTCTGCAGCAGCTGGGAGCCGGAGTACTTTGCCGAGATGGACTTCATCTCCCCACCAAAAGCTGAAGCCCACAGCTTCACCCTGCAGACCGCCACACAAACACAGCGCACACAGACAAGCAAGGAATTAGAAACACGTGTAAAATATATGGACGAATAGAACACAATTAAGATTAAGAATTAACAGGCTGACTTCAAAACTACTGATATAGGCCTACAACAAATAGACATTTGAAAAAAGAGGAGGTATCACACAACAAATGCACCATTAAACAGCGGCGGAAATTACTCAACAACAAATCGCAATAAGCCATGAAATATTGTTTGGGCATTTGTGCAGCTGGGGTATTTTTTAATCAAGGTCTTCTTTAAACTTGGAAGTTTCGAGTGATGCGTAAAACAGCATCTACTTACACGGATGGAGGGATGCTTTGGTGGGTGCCTCCCACCTCACTGACCCTGGTGCTTAGAGTTGAGAAAAGTAAAAGGAGACACACACACCACGCACTGGAAATCACACAGCTCCGATCCACCTGCATCTTGGGCAAAGATACCCTCCCTACGCGCACACAGCGAGTTTTGGGCTTATGCTGCCACCGTGGATTTTTTTATCCCCCTCCAGAGAATCCAAAAAAACAAAAAGAAAAAGGGGGAAATGGAGGTAGTCAAAAGTCACGTACGCTGTCTGACTAAATCGTTCATGGCAATGTGTTCAGATGTTCTTGGTGCGGGACGCAGATGAGCGATGCGCCTTGGCAAACGTCCGGATCCTCAGCTGTGTGAGTTATCCAAAGTGCCGCGGTGTGGCCCCGCTGACCGGTGCGGCGCACGCGGCTCTGCTGCCTGAAAGTGGCGCTCGACTCCTCCGGCAGGGCAGGGAAAGTCCGCTCGGTCGCTTTTTGTTTGACCGACCTCACCCGCAGAGAGCAAGAGAGCAGAGGTTCAGGGGGAACCGGGGAGATCATCAAACGATGCAGCGCACAAGAGCACGCCTACTCCTCTGGAGTGATGCGACTAGCCTCCTCTCTCTCTCTCTCTCTCTCTCTCTCTCTCTCTCTCTCTCTCTCTCACACACACTTTCTCTCCTCCTTACTCCCAGGATCTGAGGATAGGCTACTGAGGATGCTGTTATTGTTGTTGAATTACGCCATACTTCTGCCCCTCTCTCTCTCTCTCTCTCTCTCTCTGTCTCTCTCTCTCCTTCCCACTTATGGGCTTTAATGCGGGGCTATAATAGCTAGCCTTTAGCTTTCATGTCAGATCAAGTCATGCACTGTATGCTCAGTTCACTGAAGCAAGAATTACTGCCAAAGTGCTGACGAAAGACAGAGGGAGAAGACAAAAGAAAGTGTGTGTGCATAAAAAGACACAGAAGGTAGTGGGGATGTGCAGACTCTTGGTGGAAGAGAGAAGGACCACACGATAAGTTCGTTAAGCTGCACAAAAGCATGTCAAATAAATGCACTTTGCAGCAGTGACGTGGCACTGGCAGTGTGTGGGCACATGGGCTGTAAAAGAGGATGAGAGCCCCCAGGCGTCGGACCCCATGCGACGGATCGCATTTCACATAGAGCTGGAAGGACTCCGGCAAAGCATTGGATGGGGATCAACACTGACTGAATAGCCTGTCTCACTGCAGAAGTGGTGCCCTGTTTATTACAGGACTACCTCTTTCAGACTAGAAGACTCACCTTTGACTTATGTGGGACAAACACCAATGTGAAACAGCTGGTCTTTGTCAGTCAAACCCACAAAAAAAACATTGTTGGTTCAGACCTCTGACATGAGTCTAAACACATACAGAAGTAGAGTCAACATCACATCTAGGCTTTTCTAATTTAAAACAAAACTGTGCATACATTCTGCAAAATAAGGTAGAAAATTATTATTTTGGGGGATTATGTGTGGCATACGCATACAGCAATACATGAGATATTATGTATTCCATTGTAGTAAAACAATATGATGATTGTTAGCAGTTGCTGTGTGATCATTCTTAAATAGATGAAAGCAAAACTCCTACTCAATCGATCACAAAACACCAATCGTAGGCAATATACCATACATTAGTAATATTCTTTCAACTCGACAACTGAGCACTTTTAAATTGATTTAAACTGATGTTGGCATTATTCAGTTTACCCATGAAACATTTAGCCAACTTTATGTTTGACTGTGTGTGTGTGTGTGTATATACAAAGCACTAAATTAATGTATTTCAAATAATTTTTTTCCATAGATATACTTATATTATGGGTATAATGCTCAACTCATGTTCTGTCTTGTTTAGCGGTTTTAAGTTGTTTTTTTCATGCACACACGTGAGAAACTTTGAAGTGAAATGACCATTTATATGATGTTTACCGTCTTGATTTGGAGCATCACCTCTTCCTTTTTGTCTCTGCATGTTAGTTCGTACTGTATCTGGTGTTGCCTGGTGGACAGAGATGGAGCATGTGACATATGGCATACAGCATTAAAGACAGCCTTCCTTATCCCTGCAAAGCTGCAAAAATAAAAACACAAATATCAGCTGTTGTAGTTGGACTGATTTTTCTTCAGTGAAGGGGAGTTTTTATCCTCAAGGCTAAAGTCTACCCTGAGAGTTCCTGGGAGAGAAGTGTTATTGTGTACAGGAATATCACTGAGCAAGGCAGGGCCATTTCACTTGACAGTACTATGTGGTCAGAATAATAGCAGATACAGTAAGTGGATTGAATGGCCAAATAAAAAACAAGGTACAGTATGGGAAACATAAAGTAAGAAAAACATCCGTGCAGTTCAGTTCAAGGAAGTCTACAGTATCAGGATTGCAGGGTGGACAGGATAAGATATTTATGTCTTCAGGTTTTTATGTTATTTCAATCCCATCCTGGTCCTTTGGCTGTTGTCCCCTCCAGATCTCTTTCCTCCTCATCTTCTTTCAATGACGGGTAATTATTCACCATGTAGAGTTAACACAAATGGTCGGTCTAAATATAAGTAATCATTTTAAACAGACTAGAATAAACCTTTATATATAGTGGATTTTTTTTATTCAATTGAGCAAATTAAACAGCTCTTAAGCAAACAAAAAGTCAGATGATAATAAGGTTATTGAACATAAATTCCTTGTCTCATCAATTCCCCTGGCTCGTCTCTTTCTGTCTCACCTCCTTTGAGAAAACACAATGTAATACCGCTCATGTCCCATGGGACCCCATGCATACACCATCCCATTAGTCCCTCTTGGTTCTAAATACATTGTTATGATACCTTCTAGCCATGACCCAAAAGACACCACTAGTTTATAGAGAGATTACCAGGCATTGTGCTTGTGATATTATTCCATCCATCAATCAATTTTCCTCCGCTTATCCGGGGTCGGGTCGCGGTGCCAGCAGGCCAAGCAGGCTGACCCAGACTTCCCTCTCACCAGCAACATGTTCCAGCTCATTCTGGGGGATCCCGAGGCGTTCCCAGGCCAGCTGGGAGATGTAATCTCTCCAGTGTGTTCTGGGTCTTCCCCGGGGTCTCTTCCCAGTTGGACGTGCCTGGAAAACCTCCAGTGGGAGGCGTCCAGGAGGCATCCTAATTAGATGTCCGAACCACCTCAGCTGACTCCTTTCGACACGAAGGAGTAGCGGCTCGACTCCAAGCTCCCTCCTGATGACCGAAGTCCTTACCCTATCTCTAAGGCTGAGCCCGGCCACCCTACGGAGGAAGCTCATTTCGGCCGCTTGTAGCCCCGACCTTGTCCTTTCGGTCACGACCCAGAGTTCGTGACCATAGGTGAGGGTAGGAACGTAGACCGAGTGGTAAATTGAGAGCTTTGCCTTCCGGCTCAGCTCCCTCTTCACCAAGACGGTCCGGTGCAGCGCCTGCTTTACTGCTGCAGCCCCACCGATCCGCCTGTCAATCTCCCGCTCCATCTTACCCTCACTCGTGAACAAGACCCCGAGATACTTAAACTCCTTCGCTTGAGGTAGACACTCCGTCCCCACCTGGATGGAGCAATCCACCGGTTTCCGGCAGAGAACCATGGCCTCAGATTTGGAGGTGCTAACTCTCATCCCCGCCGCTTCACACTCGGCTGCAAACCGCCCCAGTGAATGCTGGAGGTCATGATCCGAGGAGGCTAACAGGACCACATCATCTGCAAACAGCAGAGAGGCGATCCCGGGACCCCCGAACCTGACGTTCTCCGCCCCGAGGCTGCGCCTAGATATCCTGTCCATGAAAGTCACGAACAGGACCGGTGACAAAGGGCAGCCCTGGCGGAGGCCAACACCAACAGGGAACGTGTCTGACTTATTACCGAGAATGCGGACACAGCTCCTACTGCAGTCGTACAGAGACCGGATCGCCCGTTGTAACGGATCCGACACCCCATACTCCCGCAGCACCCCCCACAAGAACCCCCGAGGGACCCGGTTGAAAGCCTTCTCCAAGTCCACAAAGCACATGTAGACTGGTTGGGCAAACTCCCAGAACCCCTCCAGTAGTCTTGCGAGGGTAAAGAGCTGGTCCACTGTTCCACGGCCGGGACGGAATCCGCACTGCTCCTCTTGAATCCGAGGTTCGACAAACGGTCGGAGCCTCCTTTCCAGCACCCTGGCATAAGCCTTCCCCAAGAGGCTGAGTAGTGCGATACCCCGGTAATTCGAGCACACTCTCCGGTCCCCCTTTTTGAAGATGGGAACCATCACCCCGGTCTGCCATTCATGGGCACTGATCCTGTGATATTATTCATTAATGTAAAAACAAAAGAATAAAGATAAGTTCCAGGTTCAGCTAGGAGCCGACTTTTCCACATACTTCCCAACGATAGATTCATGCATGTGAGGTATAGAGGCATGCATGCCTCAGGAGATTTTCTGGATGGATGGGGCATTGAGGTAGGAGGCTAAAGTCTGGATTAGTGAGGGATTCTTTAACACACTACAGTCAACCCTGAAACCAAGGCGTAGCATGCAGTCGCCATGAGGATGAGGGTTTTAACGTGGTGAGCATAACCTGACGTTATTGGAATACATGAGGGAAATAATGCATTTACAGATTGATTTATTAATGTATTCATAGATCATACAGTCCTGCACGTACACACTTTATGAAAAAATGTGGAGAAGAATTAGTCACGGGTCACATCAGAGGAAAAAACATCAAAGACTAATGACCCAGTACTCCCTTCCATCTTCACACGCCCACAACCCCTTATTTCTCCTCTAACCCTCCATTTCTTCACTTCTTGAATGCTGGAATCACACCTAATTTGGGAGAGCAGAGTGTACCCAAGCTGATGGTAACAGGGCTGTACCTGGCATTTCAGCGGAGACAGAAACTTTCTGACATTTTTTCTTCCTTTACCATCCAATAGGGATGGCTTTTAATCCCCCCCTATGGCCCTTCCCCCATGAAAAAAAGTCTTGGACAGAATATTATACAAACTACATGAGGCTATAGCGCGAGAGCTTCATCACTATGGCCATGTTTCCTTTTCTGATGTGCTTAGTTTGACCTAAGGCCTACCAGCTATCCCGTATCTCTGGCAGCTCATTAGCACCAAGGTCAATTTTGCATATACCCCTACAGAATAAAGGATCCATGGCAAAGGGTGGGCGTGCTGGCATGATTTAACTGGATACACTGATACTTCAATGAGCATATATGATTTTTTAATCATGCTCCCTAAATACGCAGGTTTTTAACTTGACAATCTTTTACCCTAAATTTTAGCATTATACCTACATTTAAGTGGGATTTCAGCACCAGAGGGACAGGCCTTGATGATACAACATGGGGCTTTTTAGGGAATGGTACTGGTCAAACTGAGTTTTTCCCAACTGTGGTCACCCTAAACAGAGAGATGCCACAGTTCCATCCTTCAGGTTTATAAACAGTACCTATTAGACACATCTATTCTATCCGTTATATCATGGGATGACGTTGTTATATTTCATAGCTGAGCCAAAGCATCTCTATCCAGGCTGGTTTGTATCCACACTAGAAGGCGGGAGGGTGTGTGTAAGTGTGAGCATTGATGTTCTTATCTGTATAGACAG